CTACTGCTCAAACAGCAACTGTCCACTTGATTCCATTCAATCCGGAACAAATCATTCAAGACTGCGACGATTTTTCCATTTCGTCCTGTGAGGCCCAAAGCTTCCTTGATGACGACTTTCAGTTTGTTTCTAGCAACACTGATGCTTTCTGGGAACAAGGGGTCGTGATCACCGCCTCAACACTTGACCGACAAAATTCTGTGTCAAACGTTAGCCTATCCTCAGCTGATGAAAGCATGCAAGTGTCTTCCTCTGAAGACAGTATGCAACTTTCATGACGGCCCAACATTAATCAACCTATTGTTTGTTACATGCAATAGTCATACTTTTGCTGATACTGCAACATAGAAACGTAGATCTCAGATTTGATTAAATTGCATTATTTGGTTCATTGGCAGTGTGCTATTCTCGCGACAGTCCTCTTGCTAACGCTCCACAAGGTGCACCATTGGTGAATATTTTTTCAACAACAGGGCCACTCTACAAAGACTCACTCCCCGATGGTATGGTTACCCCCAAGAAGATAAGCCGCTCGCTCTACTCCGACAAGATGTTCGAAGCGGTAAAACCATTGAAAGACTTCATCTTTGCACGATGTGCCAGCTGTCATGTAGGCACGTTTTTCCCACTCTTGCCTGTTTCGTCTGCCATCCTCTCGCGCACTGTATCGTTCCCAGCTCCCAATATAGTGATTAAGATAAAATAAAGCATCGGGAAAGAGGGTAAATGCACGACCACATTCTTCTTTGTAAGGCCGATGAATGTTGCTCGGAACTTTTGCAATGGTGTCTTCCGAAAACTCGGACACCTTCATCATAACCTTGCCATATTTGGACATGGCAAAGTCACCCTTTTCAGCATGCTGATGAAACCGAAGGGAACTCATCCAATCATATGGAATGCCTTTTGATTCTATGCTTTCCCTTGATGGAGCGTCAGGACATGTAAAGTTCTCCAATGCTCCAACGAGGACGCGTGGCAAAGTTTGACAGTTGCTCAAGTTGTGTGTTGTCTCAAGATCACTCATTGTTTCCAGTACAGTCGTGTTGGTCTGTATGCCGGGTAAGAGTCTTCGAAGCTCCATCTTTTCTGCGTTTCCTATTGTTGTATCGGTCTGTTCCTCCGGCTTGAGATAATTGATGACCAAGAACTCGTCGGAATCAAAGTATGTAATCCACTGAAGCCCATTCGATTTCAAAAACTCTGTACAAGTTGTTATGAATGCCCGTTGTCCTAGGTTATAGAGATGAGTATTATTAACATGGCGGCAAAGCAAAAAGTTCAGACGAACGAGTTTCGAACACTTACGGTTCACAAAAGCATGATGAACATCTTTGATGCTGTTTGCCGTGCCATATTCGTGACCATGCCGATGAGCAAAATCAGACGCATTTTGAACCCAGTACTCAAGGTCAGTATTGGCAGTCTTCCACCTCGCGAGAACCGCTTCTGGATCTTGCAGGTTGCCAACGTCAGAAGCCACAAAGACGTATCGCAGCGGAAGTATCGTGTAATGATATGCCAGCCATTCATACAGCAATTCGTTGTCTTCTTTGAGCATTAGACATGCGCCAAATGTCTCATTGATATGTCTTCGAGTTATTGGAGGAAAGGCGGATCGATCATTAGATTGTTTGTCATGTTCTGTGGATACAAGCTTTGATGTTGTTGGTGGTGGGAGTGCCAGAATCTCATCGATGCCATGTTGGAACAAGTAGTGATTTATTCGCAAGGCTCCGAAAATCTGAGGTATCGCGCACAAAGTTGAAGTGAATAGAAGGACAGCAATGTTCTTTCGATCCTTGTGACGAGTGAACGGATGCAATCGATTGACCATCGTCCATGGCTGATTTTTTCTGGGTATCGTCATTTTTCAAATATTTGTACTGTACTGTAGATTTAAATTTTTGACTGCTGCGACTGTTATTTGGTCTGTACACGTGTACTGCCGTCTGTATTTCAGTATTACAGCATCGGCGAGTGACCGACCGTCACTTTGTACGTGAACGTACAGCCTGTAGGCGATTCCCGAAGTTCGGTAACGTCTCGTTTATCCGCCTTCTGGCTTTCTCCTTTTTCTGCGACGGCAGCAATAGATTCATCATCGCAAACCAGCACCATGGCGCACGCAGAAGCACCTGAACGTCAAAGAATCGACCCTCTTGCTGTGGTCAAGGACTATGCCACTGTACCACGTCTAGAGTACCGGTGAGTTACCTTTTGACCAAAAGGTTTTATAGATCGACTGTTTCCTTCCTTGGATATCCACGATCGGAGAAATCCGATCTTTTTCTAGTCTTGCGTTACATTTTCACAAAACCTGGAATACTAAACGAATTGTTTTTCTTGCGCAGAACGATCGCTGGTGTCAATGGTCCTTTGGTTCTCTTGGATAATGTAAAACTTCCCAAGTATGCCGAGATTGTCAACTTGACTCTTCGTGACGGAACAACACGCTCGGGACAAGTTCTGGAAGTTGCCGGTAACCGTGCTGTTGTCCAAGTTTTCGAGGGAACTGCTGGAATTGATAACAGAAAGACCCGGTGTGAATTCACTGGCGATGTCCTTAAGATGGGTGTTTCCGAAGAGATGCTTGGTCGATCCTTCAACGGATCTGGAAAGGTTATTGATTCGGCACCAAAGGTTTTGGCTGAAGCCTACTTGGATATCAATGGACAACCTATCAACCCTTCTTCTCGTGATTACCCTAAGGCCATGATCCAAACCGGTATTTCCGCCATTGATGTGATGAACTCTATTGCTCGTGGACAAAAGATTCCTATTTTCTCTGCTGCCGGTCTTCCACACAATGAAGTTGCTGCGCAAATTGCAAGACAAGCATCTCTGGTTCAACAAAAGGATACAATGGATAGTCACGAAGAGAACTTCGCCATTGTTTTCGGTGCCATGGGTGTGAACATGGAAACTGCTCGTTTCTTCCGTTCCGATTTCGAGGAGAGTGGTGCGATGCAGCGTACAGCTCTTTTCCTGAATCTTGCCAATGATCCTACTATCGAACGTATCATTACTCCCCGTTTGGCTCTTACCACCGCAGAATACCTTGCGTACGAACGTGATTTGCACGTTCTTGTCATCCTTACAGATATGTCGTCGTATGCTGACGCCCTTCGTGAGGTGTCTGCTGCTCGTGAAGAAGTTCCTGGACGTCGTGGTTACCCGGGTTACATGTACACGGATCTTTCCACAATCTACGAACGCGCCGGGCGTGTGGTTGGACGCAATGGCTCCATTACTCAGCTTCCTATCCTTACGATGCCTAACGATGATATTACGCATCCTATCCCAGATCTTACAGGGTACATTACGGAGGGGCAAATTTACTTGGATCGTCAATTGCACACAAAGGGTATCTTCCCTCCGATCAATGTGTTGCCATCGCTTTCTCGTTTGATGAAGTCCGCTATTGGTGAAGGTATGACTAGATCAGATCACGGATCTGTTTCTAACCAGCTTTATGCATCTTATGCCATGGGTAAGGATGTCATGGCCATGAAGGCTGTTGTTGGAGAAGAAGCCCTTTCGATGGAAGATCACTTGTACCTCAGCTTCTTGGAGCGCTTCGAAGGAAAGTTCATTGCGCAAGGGCCATACCAAGCACGTACCATTTTCGAGTCTCTTGACTTGGCTTGGAGCATTCTCCGTGCATTCCCCAAGGAATTGCTCAAGAAGATCCCCAAGAAGACCCTTGATCAGTTCTATGCTCGTCGCCGTGAGGCTGCTGAGGCAGTGAACAAGGCTGATGGGTCTGCTTAGAGATGAAGGAACTCTACTTTTCCAAAGCATTATTTTATATAAAAATAAAAGCCCATTTTGCCTAATTCTGACCACTTTGACTCTCATTGACGCATGACGTACCAGTTGTAGTTGAATCTTGAAGCAATAGCGGCCGATCACATCATTTCTCATATCTCTTTGGCTTAATAGGACTCTTCTTGTTTGCAAGGGCTTAACCGATAGGACCTACCCAGTGACCAAAGTGTTTAGATAGCAATGAACAGAAAAAGCTTCGAGCTTGTGGCTTTATCACTCCTTTGGCTCACAGTGCTTGTTGATGGTTTTTCAACTCAACTTGGGCCATTGTCGAGTTTTCCATCATCCAGATGTTTCCCCTTCCACCAAGAAACTGTGGCCCTGATGGCTGCTGGCAAGAAAAAGAGAAGAAGAAGAAAGGAACCGCCTAGTACGGCAGCTCCAGAGCCTGAGCAGGCAGTGTCTCCAGAGGTCTCCTCACCACCAATATCAGCTGCAACACCATCCGTGGAACAAACTTTTGAAAGTGCGGAGGACATTGACCCCGAAGATGTAGATGTTGACATACTTGCAGATATAGCGAATTTTAAGTTTGAAGGCTCAGGTGAGTTTGACACAATGAGGTTATCGTGGTGTTGACCCGTTTGCTAAAACCGTCCATAGATCCAACTGTAGAAGAAGCTGTACCACAACCAGACTCGGAGGAATCTCTTCCGCTGCCTGATATCAAGCAAGCGCTTCAAAAGAAAGCAATGGAACAGATGGCAAAGGCAGAAGAAGAAGAGAAGCAAACTCAAGTCAAGATCAATAGAAAAGATAAGAAAGCTTTTGCCAAGGTATGTTTCTGTTGTCGTTTTTTTTACACTGAGTCAGTATACCGGTATGCCTCAACTTGGATGTGATAATTTGTTATGCAGCTCCTCGAACAGGATCCGTATGCCGACGCTGACGACTCTTTCTTTGAAGAAGAAGAATATGGCACTGTCAGTGCACTTCTTGGTGAACGTGCCAAACCATTTCTTGGAATCCCAACTGGTCCGCTCCAAGTTGGTCACACAATCGGAGCATTAGTCATTGTGTTGATGGCGTTTGTTGAATACCCTGGATTTCCATTGACAAATTTACCTTCGGCTATCCGTGGTGCACTACAAGGAGGTAAGGCCAATATGCGAAAACAGTAGACAATATCATGTGATTTGGATCTGACATCATTTTCTTTAGGGTTGGGAACCGTCTATGCAATCAATGCGATTTTTGCTATTCTTGCTGTATTTAAAGCAGGAGAGAGAGGCCAACCTGCATTGCTTTGGGTAGCAAAAACTTTTACGGTTGGAGGACTTGCATATGACCAGCTGACGCAACTTCCAACTACAGAGGAGATTGAAAGGGTAAAGAACCAGAAAGGAGCACGTGCCTTGAAGAACAGGAAAAACTAGATGCACTTTTAAAAATAGTTCCAAAGCTTTGCAATTCAAAATCTCAAAAGTAGACAGATCTTGTACTTGTTGATAAATGATGTATCTATAAATGACTATTTCACAAAAAAGGAGTTGCGACGGTACATACGGCTAGTAAAATCTTGCACCAGAGTGATGTGATAACATTCTCACATTCCGACGACCTTGGTTTTTCGATTTTGATGTCTTACCCAGTCCGCTATGCCCAGAGAGACCAGAAAAGTCGACTCGGGAGTGATGATTGCGACTGGGGGACGGGGGTGCGACGTGATTGGTGATCATTTGGCCAATTCCAATCGGGGCGTCACTATTTTGTGGCTCCATATGCGGCCTGATCGAAGACGGTGAACCTGACGAGCCGAAAATGGATGGCCAGAAGCTGGACCAAGTCGCCTGGTCCTGTGACTTGCTCCTGTCTCGTCTCCTTGGTGTGATTTCTTTGGTTTTAGGTTCTCGGGCGCTTTCTTCACCAAAGGACGACGTGCCACCAATTTTTGGATGTAGAGCCGACCGAGGATGATCAAAGGAGTGCGATTCCGTTAGGGTACTGTCATTTGGATCAGCGTATGCGGTCTTTCGAGCAAGGCTGCCGCCTGAGTCATCTCTGCGATCATCTCCGACACCACCATCCTCTTCTTCCATCTCGTAGACAGGAAGAACCTCAGGTACTGGTCCAAATGGACTACTGTTTGCTGTATCTTCGAGCAAAACATCTAGCTTGCGAGCAACGTCTCGTTGGTGCTTCCGAAGAGACTGAACTTTCGCTTCAAGCTCATCAATTTGGGTCAACAGAACCTTGTTTGTCGCTTGATACTTGCATGCAGGATCGGTAACCTCAGCAATTTTTACCAGTTGGGAGCTATTGTCTACCAAGATGTATCCACCCCCTCTTGCTACCGTTGCTATCCTATTTTCGAACAGGAGAATCTGTACCATTTGACCATGTTGCAAGGTCATCACACTGTTCTCTTCAGGTCCACTGGGATAGATTGGCGAGTTGGAGGGATACACTTTCAGTCCTGCTGGTTCTCTGACAATATAAGTACCCGAACTGCTCCCCATGACCTTAATTCCCCTCAAGACCAGCTCATCATCATCACCACTCTGATATCCTTCATCCTCTCTAGATTCTGCATGCACTGCTTCTATCAAACACATTAACACATGATTGCGAGGTATCGGTAAATCCACTCTTTGCACCGGTTGCAGAGGTTTTTGCGGTTGGTACGGACTACGACTATGACCTCTTGACTCTTGATACCTCCTACTGGCTGACCCACCTCCAAGTGAAGCTCGAGGAAGCGATGTCGGTCTTGGTGGAGTCGATGGGTACTGCCTAGACCCTGTTCCAGGAGGATCCACAAGGAGAGGCATTTGTGGAGGAAGCACAGCGCTAGTCAGAGGAGCTCTACATTCCATGCATTTGTCCAGGCGTTTTGCACACACTTCACAAATATAAGTGTGTCCACATGGAAGAACTACAGGTGCCCGATTAGTGAGATTAAGACTCTCAAAGCAGATTGTGCAGTGGAAGGAAAACGGAGCTGATAAATGCGACATGTTGTTCTCCCTGTCGCACTGATGGTTTCACTCGATACTATCTGTAATCGGTAAGATGTAGGGAGATCAGAAGCATCTACTGTAAAGGGTACCAGTACAGAAAGGTTGCATTGGGTTCGTTTTTGAATCCATCCCAAATCCAACGCAAAGCAGGCATCGCCAAGCAATCCCGACTGATTTTCAAAAACCCTAACAAAACCACATGCGCTTCGAAAACCGTTAGTGCGACCGACGGTTGTTAAGTAAAAAAAGAAACGTATTCACACGGCCAAGAAGGGTGCGTGGTTGATCACAAAATTAGAACGAATAGTCACTACTAAGGTGCACCCCACTGGTACCACGTACCTACGGAATGTTCTAACCTCGCCAATGTCCTCTCTGAACTCTTGTTCCTCAAGAGGCTAGCTGTCGGATCTCCTGATATTAGACCAGTGCCAGTTTGCACATGTCGGATGTAAAAGGTCGAAAAGAAGAATCATCCTGGCTGGTGCTGGTGGTGGCGAGCGAAGCTTTCGCCACCACGATAGCTAGTAAGAACTACAATAATTGCCACGACGAGACAGTCAACCTTTCTGGTACCTTTTAAAGAAGCGGAAACTAATGATCTACTGTTGGGATGTGCTAATCTTTTTAGACCAAAGAAATGATGACATTTACTCTATGCTGGGTCGGTATTTTCGGTTTTACTCATATTATTTCCAACATCCGTTTTCAACTGTAGATGAACTTCGCAATATGATGATTTGTTTCGAAAACCACAAACCAGTGCGCCACAACCACAAACCACAATAGAGAAAGACAACAGTACAGCATTATCAAAACGTAATTTTCTTTTTTAAAAAGTTCATCTATTCATTCTGAATCAAGCTCCGAACAGCAAAACAATCTCAGGATTGGTTTCCACGCGCTTGCACCACGCCTCGATGATCACTCATCATACGAACTTCCCGACGATTATGCGCATTTGGGCTTGCGTGCTTTTTGGATTGTAATAGTCCCGCATGCCCACTCATCCCAGTTCTGAAATTGACTGTTCCCCCGTCAAAAGATCCTGTTCGAGTAGGTCTGTACCCCCTAGAAGTTCCGGTAGTTCCCGTAGTGCGTGCTGTCATGAAACTCCTTCCACCCAGTGTTTGATCATCATCGTCGAATGATGGCAGCATTGAATCAATGCCTTGGATCCTGTTACGTTGAGGCCCATCCTCCAATAGTCGTTCCCCAAAGAGTCCTGATCCGCATCCAAACCCCAGCAGACCTCCCGTAATACCTAAATCAGCATCATCGTTACTAACACGATACCTTGGCAGGCCGCCTGTTTGATCGTCCATGAAAGGTTGTTGTAAACGGGGATCAGTGACGTCTGCATGTTCAGTACTTGGCATTGGACATGATCGTGCTGGAGAGTTCTCGTAAATTGGTCTGTGTTCTGGGGTTCTGTGATAGTCCAGGCCTACATCCGTTGAATCCGTTGTTGATGAATGGAGCAGCAAGTCCTGAGTCTGCGATCGCTTTGGTGGTGTCGTCGGAGTTTGTGGGCCTCCTCCTCCTACATCAAGCTCGTCGCGAAGGGCTGAAATAGACTCCTTGCGCGCTGATATAACTGGGTGTTCCTCGGGTTGATCCTGTTCATCCTTGATTTGATTTCGCAAACCATTGACCAGAAGATCAACTTCGTCCAATTCCTTCTGTAATTGCATTCGCTTTTCCATTACAGAATCCAACATTCCCTCCAGCCGACATGACTTTTCCAGAGGGCCACCCACTAAAGATCAAGATGATCAAGTTGAGAAAGGAAGAGAACGAACAAAAAATAAGAAACGAGACAATCAAACGGCACCACGATCAATCGATGTAGTGATGTAGTAATAGCAAGCAAGCAACCAAGTAAGCAACCTACCTTTCACAAGTTGATTTACAGACGCCATAATGTACCCCACTTCTCTGGCAAGTTTGTAGACTCCATCTTCAGCGGCAACCACTTGGACAGTTTGTCCATCTTCGATAGTGAATGGCTCCCTAGATTCCTCTACCTTCTTTTCTTCCCCCGCGTTTACCGCTTTTCGCTTGTCATGTTGAAGGTTGGGATCGAAAGGCAAGACAGCAAGACCCAACGGTTCCCTTACAGCATACGTTCCGCAAGCTCCAGCCAGTGCTGTCATACCTGCCAGAGTAGGCTCAATTAACTTGTCATCATCATCTTCGCCATCGCGAGTAGAATGAGCTCTTTTTAGCCGTTCCTTTTCAATCATCCTTGCCTGCATCTCCGCTGCTTCAATCATCTCTAGCAGAACAATATTTCGTGGGAGAGGCAATGGTACTTCCTTTTTGGGCGTTGGGGCAGGAGCAGCAGCAGCTATACCACCGTACGCAGGATGAGGCGGTGTTTGAGGACCTGGAGAAAAGCGACCTCGATTTACAGAGCCTCCGGTGTACCGCAATGGTTGCGGTGATCGTCCTGAATTCAGATTCATTCCCGAAGGCATTGTTTTTTGCTCCTGAGCAGGAGGTGCCCAGAAGAGCGGTTCTCGACATTCCATGCATTTCTTGAGCCGCTTTGCGCATACTTCGCAGATATAAGTGTGCCCACAGGGGAGAACTACAGGAGCCCGATCGCGAGTATTGAATTCTTCATAACAGATCATGCAATGCAAGGAAACCTCTGCGGCCACGGATGTCATATTGCTGTGTAGTGAAGCGTGATTTCGATTTCGATTTCGATTCCTTTACACCGTCTTTCTTGTTGACTTTCCAGAACAACGAGCTGCCATATAATTCTCAACTTGGACTTGACTTTTTTCTTCTTGTGTGTGTTTGTGACTGTACCGGTACGATACGATACCTATCGAACAACTCGATCTTGAGGAGATGCGGTCGCTGCTCCAATCGAGCCAGCAACTTGCTTGGCGAGCCATTCTTGCGGGGAATCCGTACCCCTATTTCATATTACACTTAAATGCTTTGTTCCACCTCTAAGTAGATTCACAACCACGCGCCAGCTCAACTAGAGATTTAGTACGTGGGAAGGCCGTCCCATAACCGCTCAGTCCGAGGCCGTCGGCATATTCGGGGGAAGCATTGGCACCTCATTTCCCACATTGAATATGATAGAATATCTTATTGGATGAAGATCTTCAGGAGGAGCGAAGGAAGGATTATTGTATCATCACGAATTCGACCGCCCGGGATCAACAACAGTGTGAGACCGTCAATTACTGAAGCCCTTCTTCCTTCACTGCCCATCTTCGAAACCATTAATGGACCCATCGAAATGGCAATATCTTGTAGAAGGTGGAGAAAATGCGATCTATGAACAAACTACAACAACCTCATCAGGAGGATCTTTCCATCAATTGTTGCGAATAAGAAAACAAGATTTGGCTCTTTCCGATCAAATGGTTTCTTGTTTTTCGAAGACAAAAGCCTGCCATGACAAAGCTGAAAACTCAAAAAGTTATTTGGAAGGTGTCGTCGCACCTCTATTGGAACCCTACATCGATGTTCCCGCTACCATCCACCTGGAATGGTCCTTTGTCGCAGCATTGAAACAGCAAACAATGGAACATGGCTGCATCCCCGATGCTCGAAAAAGCAGCTGGAACCTTCCACCGAAAATAAATGGAGATAGTCTGGGCTCCGACAATATGGAGCGACAGGTAAGGGCCCAGCTGATACCCGACTATCGAATGCTCCCGGTGACACCCACAAAGGATGATGATACTCACCTCATCCCAGCAACAGCCGTCCTCAGTGTGGAGCTGAAACCAAAAGCTGGTTATCTTGCGTGTTCGCCACTAGTCCAGCCGAAACACAGAATAAAGTATCAACATTCACGTTACGTGCTCAAGCAGAAACTATATCAACTCGAGCAGCAAGAAGTTATCAGATCAGGCTGGTCTTCTGCTGATGGTCAAGTCCAGCAAAGCCATTTTGATCCATTGAACCTATACTCGGGCGATCCGGAACGAATTCAAAAGGCAATCCAAGAGCTTTTTCGTTGTCCTCAGAATAATCTTCGAGTCACTTGCAATAAGCAATTGTTCTTGTCCAAAGAAAAGGATGGCTCACCAGCATACAGTGAAAATGCTGAAATGTTGAGTCAGGATATTCTATCGGAATGGATTGGTGGTGTCGGCAGTAGTAGTCTGGACGTTCTATCGACCATGATGATAAATATTTCCAACTGGCTCGTGGGGGTCTTTCAACAAGAAACTGTGCTCCAACGCTTGCAAAAATTGCAAAAGTTGGACATTGTGGACGCTGATGGAGCAATCCTTTTATACCATCGGCTAGTAGAATTGTGCAAGGGTTCGCACGAAGAGGCACAATCTCTCTTGGACAATGTGATGACAATGTTGAGGAAAGAGACAGACGGAACGCCGCCACTGGAGGACTCGCCATTTGCATGGTCCCAAACAAATGACAGCGATGACTTTCTACCCAACTTCTGTCGCAAAATCAAAGAATTTGAAAAGAGTCTATTGGAGGTCGCCCCCAAGTTGCCGCCTGAGAAGTTTTTGGACCACCATCATGAGGAAATGATGAAAATGATACAATCAATGGATTCTTCTGACTGCCAGTATTTACTCTGGAACTGGCTTTTGTCATTGACGCTGAATGATATCAGTATCTTTGTTACTTTTCAAAAAGTAAAAGTGCCATTCGAAAAGAATTTCCAAGAGCTGGATTCTAGTCCAATAACAACAGGTAGCAGAAGTCATGGGATTCTGAAGTTACCGCGAGAGAACAAAGAGGATGATGTCCATTTGGCCTACACAATACGGATTATTGATTGCGATGGAAAAGCTTCCAACAAGCTCCGCAAACGATGGAAGAAAGAAGAGCCATTTGCACTACTACTGTGAAAAAGCAAAAAGGATTTACAAGTCTAAAATCTATTTTATTTCAAGCTTCAACTTCATATTCATCGCAGCGAGCTCATTCGCCAGGTAGCGATAGACATATGGCAAGATGATTGGTTCCACACATTCATCACTACCCTCTTCTCTGACCTGCTCGAGGCATTTCGGGTTGCGGCAGATGAGCCGAAGCTTTGCCTTCTGGCTGGCTTCCGCCGAGCTTTGTCCTGCCGACAAGATGGTACTTCGCTCGGTTGAAGGGTTTAGGAGATCTCCACATCGTGTACAGGCAAATCCAGTATGTTTGTCACTGCAGTTCAGTAATCTGTCATGGAGGAGGAATGCTGCCCCGTGACTCAGAAGACTGTCCCTTTCCATTTCACCCAGACGAATACCTCCTCCCTTTTTCCTTCCCTTGATCGGCTGGCGAGTTAGAGGGTTCACAGGCCCAGTAGCTCGCACTTGGTATTTATCAGAAACCATGTGTCGAAGACGTTGGTAGTACACAACTCCAATGTACAAGTCCGCTTGCATCAAGCATCCAGAAACTCCACTGTACAGTGGTTCACTTCCATAGTAATTGTAACCCGCTGCCTGAAGCTGCTCTCCAAAGTAATCCACAGATATTTTATCTCCAGACTCATGGAACTGGAACGGAGTCGCATCTTGGTAGATACCATGAAGAGCCCCTGACTTCCCTGCCATACTCTCCACAAGCATACCAATTGTCATTCGACTGGGAAATGCGTGAGGGTTGATAATGACATCAGGTGTAATGCCACTTTCACTAAACGGCATATCCTGGTGAGGCCATAAAATACTCAAAACTCCTTTCTGGCCGTGACGACTTGAAAATTTATCTCCAATGACAGGGTTTCGGTTGTACCGAAGAGTGATGGAGGCCTTATTTTCAGCTGATTTTCCAGAATCACTGCCAACCATTCGAACAGATTGAACGTATGCCCTTTCATTATCTTTGTGCTTTCCAGACTTGTCACGCCCTGCAACATCATCAAGGACGCAGTACAACGGGTCTCCTTTCTCCAAAACAGAACCTACTTCTGGAAGGCCATCTGCTTCAAGATTTTGATGAACGAATTGTCCGTCTTTATTAACTTTGTTGGAGAATTTCATTTCTGGATTCGTCGCAGATTCCGAAGCCATCTTTGCCTCTTCCTGCAAGTCAACTTCGATTGTTTTGTAAACACTGGCGTGGCCGAATCCTCTCTCAACAGACATTTTGTTCAGGATAACACTATCCTCCATGTCATATCCAGTGTAACTCAAAACGGCTAGAGAAAACAAACAATGCGTCAGAAACAAATCTCGCCATGTGATGCATCAAGCATTCACGCAACAACCACTTACCGACAACAGCATTGGCACCATTTGGATACTCATCCATCTTGTATTCTCCATGTGTTGCAGTTTGAACAATCGGAGCTTGTGGATTTTGCAGCTTATATAGCTTGTTATCAGTCCGGAATGGCAATGAGTGTCCAGGCGTTCCCATCGTTTGTTTTCCCATCTGACACTGATACATGTTTCTTGGAGACTGATTTTGATCTGAAAAGGGAGTTAAATTGGCGATCAAGCTGAGCATATTGGTTGGATCTAATTCCATATGGGTGGTAATGCCCTCTCGAACGTCCTGATCGAGACAGGCAATGTCCATGAATGCTTGCTCCATTGGACCAATCATTTCAGTTCTTCCACTTGCTCGCTGCAAAACGGGCCGGACAAGTCTGGCTGCTCCAGTGAATAAATAGAGTCCAGGGTATGGTGATCCTTTATCACCAAGAGGAATTAGTGCAACCTCTAGTGTTTTTGGAACTTGAGGAGGTTCAGCAACCTTCAGTGATCTAAGTTGAGCAGCAATGGCTTTACAGGCACTTGGACTGGCAGTACCAATCAGTCGTCCATCCAAGCAAACAGGGAAATTCGTATGGATTGATGCGGCTCGTCCTTCGCCTTTGTGTCCTCCAGCGCCAATAGGGCTGACTCCCATCCCCGCAAGAAGATCGTCAAGGTTAACCATTCCTTTTGCATTTGCCGCCGCTGGACTTGCCATTGCGGAACATTTTAAAGATAAGTGACTCAGAAGACCACATGGTCCTCCATCTGGTGTGTGAACTGGACATAAGAAGCCCCATTGGTCCGGGAGAAGTTTTCGGACGGCTGTAGTCTTCATTTCCATGAAAAACTGGCCACGATGGACTGACCTGAAATGAGAGCAATATCTCAGAAAGTTTAACCGCTCAGCAACGATAGTATAACCGGAAACTTGCATGAGATCAAGTCCACTGGACGAAATGATGTTTCCAGTAGAAAGGAAATGCCCAACTTTCTTTCCAATGCCTCCCGAAGAAATACCAGAATATCTGTCAAAGAGTTTGATCCAGAAGGCACCATCTTGGATCTTTCCAGCAAAGCGCGAAAAATCTTTTCTCATCTCAATAGTCATTCCAAGTCGAATCGCCTGAAGCATTTCATCAAACTTCTCCTTGACAAAAGTGCACATCAAGTGTCCAGGAGTAAGAAGTTCTTGGTTTTGTAGGGAATCCGCATTGTCAACACCACAGTCTCCTGCAGCGAAGGAGTAAAGTTTGCGGAGAAGGAGCAGAACGCATTCCAACTTGTCTTTATAGCTGGGAAGGTGAATCAAAACGTATCGGCGAATCATATAGTGCCCGATTTCAATATCATTCGTTGTATCGGCACGTTGGCTCAGTCTTCGGAATCGAGATCCAATGTATGCCAAGCACTGATCCGGAGTGTTCAGATTGGGAAATCGTGCTTTGGCATCTTGCAACAAAAGCTCTGCTCGCGCTCGCAAGAAAGTGTTACTTTCGTCGCCTTGAACAATCCGTTGGTACAATTCTTCATCGGTAATTCCGACTGTAGATCCTCCCGCAGCATCAGCTGGAGATGACGTAGATTGCGGTCCACTCAATGCCCGTAGGATAATCAATATAGGGATGAGAAACTCTTGTTTTCTTGCAACAAATTTCAATGTAGCACCACCCGTTGTCAAGTAATGGACTGTGTTTGTGATGCTCGACTGATCACCGTTGTGGCGAGCGCAACGGATAGCTACACCTAAATCAGTGTAGGTCGCGCCACGGTTTTTGTAGTTGGATCTTTGGATTGCAGTTGGGTGATTCCTTCGAGGGATTTGAAGCATGCGGACGCACCTCTCAATACCGTTCATCAAGAAGTATCCACCGAACTCGTTGTCCTGGGTATTCATCGCGTCAGTTAGATGTGGCCGAAAATTCCTGCGAGGTCAAGGCATATATACTCACCTCCTCCCGAAGTTTGACAAGCTCCTTTGACATCAAGCCGTTCAAATGACAAGCGTTACTCAGAACCATTATCGGCATATTTCCGAATGTCTTGGCCACTTTGGTGACTGGACCGGGAATTTCGACACCATTACGTCTTTGAATAATTCGGTGGCAGAACTTTCCAATAATTTGACCGGCATATACAATTTTCCGTTCTCTACACTCTCTTGGAATCAACTTCATGTTCGATCGACCACCCGCTGCCTTCGTAGGCTTAATAATTTTGACATCCTCGAGCCAAAACTTGACAGTCGACACTTCATTCAAGTCAATTTTTGCCCCTTCTCTCAATTTTTTCATGTCCAAAATATCCAATTCCGCTGGTTCGATATCCCGGACGCCTCGTATGAGACCTTCGTCCAAGAAGTAGTTGAACGATTCCACATGAGGTTCAGTCAAGGTTCTCAACCGCTTGACATCTTCGTCACTTGCTAGATGTCCACGACGGAATGAGGGACAAGTTTCTTTAATTTTTGTCTTTTTCTTTGGACTCTTCATGGCCATGGAAGAAGTCTATTGAGGTGCTTGGATTGAGATTTTGTTTTTGTTCAGATTTTGTTCTGATGGCTCGAAAGCTCATCATCATGCGGACTGGCAGTCAGACAGACAAAGGAAATCTGTCCGCCTGTCGTAATTTGAGACTCTATTATCTCCTGAAGAATCAAATCTCCCGATCCTTTTCTTCAACTCGGGCGGATCCACGACGCACGACGAACGTGAAAATTGTGAGGAATATGTCCTTTACGTTTCCGATTGTTATCCAAAAGACAAAGTGAAAATGTTGAAATCTGCTGCTGCCCTCCTCTCCCTTGTCGGTGCCGTCACCGGTTTTGCCCCTGCCGCAACTGGTAAGTATTTCTTAGCGTCGACTAGCGCTGAAATGGTTCTTAAGTGGATTTTCTAACAAGCTTCCTTTGCAGGTCCAAAAACCAGCACCAACTTGAACGCAGAGAAGAGCCCTGCCGTTCCATTCCTTCCATACCCAGAGAGCTTGAAGGGATACACTGGTGATGACATCGGTTTCGATCCTCTTCGAATTTCTGACTACTTCCCCATGGATTACCTTCGTGAGGCAGAACTCAAGTAAGTTTCCATACCTTCATTCGTATCTTTCCATGTACTGTACCTGGCTAACGTATCAATCTACGTGATTTTTTAACATCATTAGGCACGGACGTATTGCCCAACTTGCTATTGTTGGATACATCTGCGTTGATCAAGGGGTTGTCCTTCACCCTCTAGGACAAGGTCTTTCTTCCGCCGCTGCTCATGACGTCATGGTCCAAAACGGAGTTATGGGTAACATGCTTGTGTTCATTGGTCTTTTCGAAATGGTTTCGTGGATCGCTGTCTCTGAGATGCTTCAAGGATCTGGAAGAGCACCAGGTGACTTCGGATGGGGATCGCAATTCATTGAAGGAAAGAGCGAGAAGGATGCTGAATGGCTCAAGTACCAAGAAATCATGAATGGACGTCTTGCCATGATGGCCTTCGGAGGAGCCGTCACACAATCTGTTCTTTACGACGTTGGTTTCCCATACCTCAACTAAATCTGCACTCTGCTTAGATCTACATAGAGAGAAAGTGTGCCTTGCGTTGGACGTGGGCGCAAAGCCAGCTTCCAGTATGTTTGGTGCAAATGCAGATAGTGCGCCTTGCTTACGCTGCATAATGCGACCAAAGCAAAGTATTTTCTGTACTTTTAAGGCTATAAAACGACACAGTTTTTATTGCTACTACCTATGACGACAGTGTGGATGATAATGTAGCGCCAATGCCTACAGCATTTGTGAGAAGTCTCCAGTTTGAACATCGTCATCTTGTTTGGTCACTCTCCTCCACTTGCACCTTTCGAGCATGACAGATCGACTGCAGCTCCTACCACTATTATAGAGGCATTGTTTCGTATTCCCACCATCATAGATTGCATTCGTGAACTACGAATGTGACCTTGAAACAAACGATGAAAAATGGATGGAGTTCAAGGGTTCAACGATAGAGTTTCTATAGAGGAATTGATTCGAATTTGCGATAGCTCGTTACTCGAAAGAAATTAGACTACAAAAGTTTGTGCTTCCTTCTGCAATCCCGCCTCAAAGTGTGTCGACGCCCTAGATCTATTTTTCTGGTAGTAGTGTGCAGTGGAAGGGCAGAATGCGAAAGCGATGCGCTTATACGTATGGGAAAGGACCTTGGGTCAAGACAGCTTGTGTGACCATTCCACTGAAAGCAAGCATGGCCAAACGGCAGTGGGTAATTTCCTTCAACTTCATGTCGTTGTCAGCTGCCTCGTCACCAGTTAGGAAGCCAACAGGGTCAAGACCAAAGTCTCCTGGAGCGCGACCAGATCCACTCAACATTTGCCAAACAGCAACAGAGCTGAGTGACTCTGCAATTCCGATCCAAAGGAACAATTGTCCCATGGCACCGTACTCTACAAGAGCATCGTGGGCTGTGACAGAGGTAAGACCTTCGTAGGCCTCAGGGGTTGGGTAAATTCTGTATCCAATATCGACAGCGGCGAATCCAACAAGGGCCAATTGGCAGATACGTCCATGCTTCAACTCAGCCTCGCGAAGGAAGTCCACGGGGAGGAAATCAGAGAATCGGAAAGGATCAAAACCAACATCCCCAACGTATCCAGCAAGGTTTGGTGGGTATTCAAGGAAAGGAAGTGCGGTACTGGCAACATAAGTTGGGGCAGCTGGTTCCTCTTCAGCAGCCTCTTCAGCAGGGGCTTCAGCGGCAGCTTCTTCCCGGATCAAAGTGGCCGAGCGTCCTAATAAGAGGAAAGAAAGTATGCACAGTGAGAAAGCTGAATGCAATGATACTACAAAGACTACCGATACTACGGATACTGCAACTTCATCACGCCGGGCAATATGATTCCAAGTTGATGATGATGATGACGATGATGATGATGATGATGATTATTGACTATATCCGGCTTGGGACCAATATAACACCTACCATTGAAGGAAGCAGGGGCGAAGGCGGAGGCACCAGCAAGGAGGGTAGCGAGGACAGCGATCTTCATGGCGAGTTTTGAGTATAGACTTGTTTCTTCCCAGTGGGTCGAAAGCTGCGCATCAATTTGAGTACGTTGCCTACCTGTAGGCAAAAAGTTGAAGCAGCTCGTCAAAAGATCGGGACGAGAGGTACGAAGGACGGACATTCTGTCTGATTTATGACGTCACAGTTGAAAAGGGGGAACATCAAAAGATCAAATCAATCCCCAAACTTGCCGTAGATTTCTTGAAGAAAAAGTGTGCACCCCGTTCTTCACCTTGTGATCTTTCACGATGCTACAGTATGTGGGTCAAGGAACCTCTTCCAGAAGTTGAAAAT